GGTTATCCGAGGAGTTATTGCGAGACCAAACAAGCCCGGTTCTCAATGATCAGAGGAGAAAGTACTTGACACAGAACAGTTGTCAATATAAGACTTTTTAGATAAAAACTGAATAGTTCCATCTGAAATTAAAGTTTTATGGTTGAATCACATATGTGGCAGGTAATGTTTGAATCTAAAGGTTATCTGTAATCTAATCTACTATCTGTAAATGAGTTTACCTGTAATCTTAAGGATGTTTTAAATCTGCAGTGCAGGGACTAAATCTAATTTCTTGCTATTTGCACAATTTACTTAAGTATTTGTATAGTTTGCAGAGGGGTGTGTGTTTGTCTTTCTAACTGACATGTTCACAAGTCATTTTTTGCAAGTCCAAGTCTCAAGTCTTGAGAGCCTAAGTCAAGTCTTGAGAAGGCCTGTCACAATTATCAATCGCACAATAAATTCTAATCACTCGATTAATTAAAATAAGTGCAATAATTAGCGTGCTTGTGTTTTCATCTCCATCACTGAGACGGTATAGCTTAAAGGTCACTATATCTATGGAATGATCATTATCTTGAACTGGTAAATGAAAAATACAATTTAAAAGAGCACACACGCATTTTTTTTTTTTCCAGTTAAATTTTGCATCTTTTTTTCTTTTAAAAACAACAATTTTCTTAACAGTATTTACCTGACATTTGTGGTTACAACTTTTTCTAGTTTTAGGAGTAAATGTCTGCTCTTTTATAAGTGAAAATGAGGGCTGTGGAAAAACAATCACAATCCTGCTTTTTATTGATACATATGAAGTTAGCAACTACAACAGATAAAGGAAAAACCCTAAATAAATACCAGGACAATAATTCTTTCATAAAAGAAACATTGTGGCAATAACTTTTTGTAACTTAATGCCCTTGAACAGACAGAACCGACTTGGCGGGCACTTAAAAATAAAATATTGTTCACGAGTCAGAAATCTAGAGTCTGAAGTCCTTCAAATGCAAGTCTAAGTTGAGTCTGAAGTCATTAAATATGCGACTTAAGTGCGACTCGAGTACGAGTCGCAAACTCGAGTCCCCATCTCTGCTTTCTACCCCTTTAATAGAATAGAAAATCCCTTTATTTTCCCACAATGGGGAAATTCTGGTGTTTAAAGCGGCAAAAAGATTATTGGAAAAATGGTCACGCAAATGTGGACTATATAAAAATAACAGTGAAGAGTTGCAACAAAATACTGTACAGTAAACTGTTTTGAAAAACTGCACCTGCAAAACAAATGACCAATATACAGCTATGGATATTTGGAAAATGGCAACATCAGAAATGTACAAAATGACAGCATGTTAATTTGACTAGGGTTTTCTAGCATTACATTTGCTTTATTCATGCTCCTATTCCACTCTATATTCTCATGAGTGTCTTCACTTGAAAATAAGTAAATGAACTGTTTGGAAAGGTTATTCTTTTTCTGCTTTGTGTGTCAACAGTCATGGTTGCTCGGCAACAGAGCATATGGTGGTAAAAGCCACCGAAGGTAGACCTAATTAAATCCCCAGAACCAAAACTTTTCTGGTCTCCTTATTTTCACGGACTTGAAAGGATCCAGTCCAGGCATATCATGTCCCAAACAGATGCAGCCCATAAATTCAAACACCGCCCATCAGCCCTTTGCCACTACAAAAATCTTCTGTTCCCTGTCTTATATTACTGGATGAACAGATTAATCCAGGTGTGACTGGCCTGTTCTAGTTAAATCTTAAGAATGGTTTGAGACAAAGTTCAAATCTGTACAACTCTAGCTGCAAGGACTGGACTACATCCTGAATTTTTAGCCAAAAGTATATGCATAAAGGGTAGGAAGGTTGATGGCTCGAGTTTTAAAAAATCATGGTTGCCATGTATATGTGTACTTGGGTTAAAAATTGGATTTTTGCTTTGCCTTCAATTTTGGGCACTTGATATCATCCAAACTCCTGGAAGCTATTTCGGCATCCCGTGCAGGAAAAATCCCATTTGTTGATCAATGCAATAGAAAAAGTCAGTGAAATCAGATGGCTTTGTAGCATTACTTTTAGATTAGTCTACTGTGCAAAATGTTTAAAGGTTTTAAATAAGGTTTTTGTCTCAACAGTGTAAACCATGAGTATTGATAGATTCACTAAAAACAAAGCATACTTAAAAGGCAGGTAAGTCATGCTGTCAGGGATTTCACTCTTGTACGCAAAGAGCTATTGTACAATTTTACGGTGTTCACTTGTCACAGAAGCGAGAGATTAATATACTGAAAATTCCACAGAAACATGGGCATTAATTAGGGCAATTATTTAGGATAACTTTCTGAGATTTAAACAATTATCTATTAATGTCATGTTTCCATGTTTATAGCTGCATAGATGGTACTTGCATTCATATTGATGCTTCTTTACTAAATATAAAAAATAAAAAAAATCAAAGAAATAATGAGCAGGTAAGACTTGATACAACCATTACAAAAGTATTTGACATGGCAGCTAATTGGAGTTTTGTACATAGATCTTATGCAGCTTACATAGTTAGCTAATTGTAAGTGAAGTGGTGTTTTTCTTTCCAAGATGCACATTCTTTCCTTTAGGTAACTTCTCATTTAATCAGTTCAATCATTTTATTTAATCAAGTGTTTATTGTCTGCAAGTAAAAATGCAATAATCATCCACCTTTATTAAAACCTCAAAATTTGAATGATACAACAGTTGGAATATAATTAGTTTTTCTATTATGCTGACCTGTTTGCAAGAACAAGCGGCGGTCCAGCGGGAAGCCTTTGGTGTCCTTTAGATGCTTTTAACACTGGAAGCTTTCATGACAAAGATGCTAGAGGAATGGGCTTGCTGTCATTTTATCCAGTATTTTTTTATCCACGTTTCCTGGAAACGGTGATAATGGTGTAGCTTCAAAACAGGAGGGAACCTCATCCTGCTGCAGAGTTAAAGACATGGGTGAAGACATTATTAAAAACCTTCCAATTTAGACAATTGCTGGGAAAATTGGAAGTATTAATAGCTATGTAAAGGGATCCTGGCAAAGGATGCATACTGGGCAGGTTACGCCAAGCATAGGAGGCACGCAAATTTAAAAATTTCATTTGAGGGATTTGGCTGTCAGTAATGAACTGCATTTGCAACCTCCTCCCCGCAACAATATCAGTAAATCAAGCTGGTCTTTACAAATTTATGTTGCTTCAAAACTATTTGTTACGTTTTAGTCTTGATCACACAGAATCACATTGATTATCTACTGAATCTTTTATTGGTTATAATCCTAACAGGCTGCTGGAGAAACTGTCTAAGGAAACTATTTCTAATGGCAAACACAACAGCCTCATCCGAGTCTATAGGCAATTACTGCAGTCTATTTCAATACTCTGGAAAATAAAAGGAAACAGAGTACTCATATACTTAGTTCTGGAAATGCGCCAACAATAATGAAAAAAAAGAAAAAAACACACAAACTGCTGTGTTTTGCTGCTGATATGGAAATGCTTTTTATTAACTCCAGTTTCAATTCAGCTTCTCTTGGGAGAACAAAGGATAATCAAACATTACACAGTGAATGGAAAACCTAAAACCTTTAGAGCTGTGCTGCATCCAAGGTGAGCCACGCTGTGAAAAGAATAAATAAAATTGAGGATAATTTTGTTGCCCAGAATTAAGTGATCAAGCCCCCACCCTCCAGCAATCTTTCATATAAAATCAAATTTGTGGTTTGATTAAATTTCCTGCTTGCTCTCTCATTTGCATAATCACAAGCAGAGCTCTAATGTTCGGGAATGAAAACACATGCTAATCTATGCGTCGAAAGCAGAAAGGCCTTTTTCAGTATAACAGAATAAGGTCTGGAGAATGCAGGTTTCAAATGCATGAGCCATTTCAAAGTGAGCGATTTAACATTCATCTTCATCACTGCAATCAATATGACAAAATGGATTTTTCAGCAATTTTTGCAAACCCATTATGTATCATTCTGTGGATCAATATTTTGTTCTGTAAACATGTAAATGAAGGAGCTAGATGATGTACAAAAACTGTCTTTGTTTTTGTGCAGAAGATTCAAATTACCAGCCTTTACAGACTGGGATGGCATTTCCACAATTTAGGGATTCTTGAACATGGTAATGAAATAATTTATCCAGAGATTCCTCAAGGCCATGACAGCCGTTGGTTTTTTAAAAAACAAACAAAAACGGACTGAATTATTTTGAAATTAGGCGCCATAAAAAAAAAGATTAAAACAAACAACTTACTAACTGCAGGGATAATGCCTTAATGTCTGAGCTGTGCTTTTATTCCGAATCTGCCAATTATTTTTTTTAAATTCAGACCTAAAAGGGCATATTTTTGCTCAAGATTTTCGATTGTGTGTTAGATTAGTTCTACTACTTTATGTGAATGAGAATTTAGCAGAAATATCTGTTTAAGGCTATTTGCATTATTAAATGGATTACTAATATCCTCACTGAAAATACACATTTCTCTCATTGCAATTTTTCTTTTAATCTCCCTTTTTCAGTCAAGCAAAGCGCCGCTAACCACCAATTCATCAGTGGTATATCAAAATCAGTTTCTGGCCACATCCATCCTGCTAGACCCACTTCCCTGTCGAATATACTTGTGCAGCCTCGAGGTGGCAACAGAATTAGCTTCAGTTAATGAAAGAGTATTAATTTCTCTAAGTCACAACAAAATTAAGGACTAATGTGGCCATGAATATTTTAGTTACACTGCAGCAACACGGGAATCTGCTCTGACAATCTTTTCTGGCTTCTGGAAAAAGAATTGGCGATTAAATGCATTATTTATGCTTCATAATAAAATTCACATTTTGCACCAGCGGGATGGAGAGAAAATCCAATGAGGAGTCAATACTATTTCGAACTAACTTGCTGAACACTTACAGTAGAATAATGAGAAATTGGCTCCACAGAACCGCAGCTCAGTGAACAGAGCTCATCTCTCAGCTGTTATCACTCTCTTGTGTAGGATAGTGCATTCTTATTATATCCATTAGAAATGGATGTGATCCTTCCAAGTCAGTGAGTTCTCGCAGTCTCCCCCATGGAAGTTTTAATTAGAACACCAGTCACTCGTGCTATCGTTGTTTCAATAGAGCTGCTTCAGCATTCCTCAGATGCCCACTTCATTACAGGATCAGAGGCCCACAGAGGGTCGACTGTTAAGGGTGGCAGCCTCATGTGTCCTTTGCAGTTTATCTTTGCATTCAACAATTGCTTCTCTACCAAGAGTTTGAACATTTTCATGTTTAACTGGGACATATCCAGAAGTAAGTTTAAAGTCAAATCATTTCTCATTATAATAATACTCACAGTGAGAGGCCAACACAGAACAAAAGCGGCATGAGCACAGCGATTCCTCTGGAATGTTATTTCTGATGCAGATGGACTGGAAATATATGTAGAACCAGAAAGAAAGTTGGCCAGCTTTAATGGTTTAAAGGCAGTGTTTTAGTTCATGGTCAGCATCATGAGGAAATCCAAACATTTGTTTCCATGGAGAATAAAAACAGAGAAAAAAAACATTAGTGTTCCATATCTTCTGATTTAAATCTGTGAAAGAAAATTTATCACAAACTTGTGCATACTGTTATTTTCAATGTTTATCTGCTTAATATTTTTGATGGTTTTGTACACTATTGTTGTATCTGCATTATTAGATTTGTTAATGCACAAAAAAATGCATGGTAAGGTTTACTTGTACAGGACACTTCAGTTCAAAGTCAAGTGAAAGGGCTTTACCTGAATTACACAGTAACATGGATGGAAAGTTAAAGCAATATAAAAGCAGTTAGAAAAAGCAAACAACGTATTTTGACCACAAACAAAACTAATGAGATGTAGGTTAAAAGTTTGGCAGTCAAAGGCAGTTCTAAATAAATGGGAGATTAGCTTTGACTTAAAAGATATCAATATTTATCTACATTCATGGTTTTTTGCATTATTTTTCTGTGTTTCCACACTCTTTTGGAGCAGAAAAACAATTTTCAGTTGTGTAAACCTGAAAACTAAGTTAAATATTGAGACAATTATTTAAATTAGGTCAACAAACTGAGTTAGTTGTAATCTTTAACATTACTAAATGTTTGCCCAGTATTTATATCTTTAAGTTTCTGGGTATTTCAACAAGTGAAAAAATCTGATGACTAAATTTTTATTTATAAATGAAGGAAAAACAACTTATGGAGTTGTCTTTTTCTTGAGTGCTTGAGTCAATGTGCTTTGAAAGTTTAATTTTAACAAATACAAACTGGTGTTAAGGTGGTACTTACAATCAAAATAACACTGTATGTCCTATAATAATGACAATAAAGTTATATTTACATTCAAAGTTATGGCACCTTATGGTTGAGTTACTGGTGTTTAGGGTTTGCCACTGCTGGTGGTTAAAGGCTGGATTTGGTTCTTGAAGAAACCACAAATGTCAAGGGTTCAAAACTCAGATTGATACAGACTGTCCCTGAAACGATGAGGGTAAATGAAAAACTGTCCCGGTGTGAGACAACACACTCTGAGTAAAAGTATGATTCTTATGTAAAAATTTGTCATTTGTATTTTATTCATATTTATTTATAGAGCTTGGAATCCTGAGGTTCTGAGTTCGAGCCCCACTCCCACAGACTGCCTCTCTGGCTCTTTGAGCAAGACCCTTAACCCCACACTGCTCCCCAAGGGGATGGGTTAAATGCAGCGGTAAATTTCTCCAATGTGAGATTAATAAAGTTCAATATTATTATTTTCACATAACTTGGGAAAAAAATCTGCTTCAAAGTTAAAGTAACAAAAAAAGAAAAAAAAATCAAAGTTTGGCAAACTTAAAAGCAAAACTTAAATGATTAAGTTTTAATTCCACAATATGACCCCACTTGGCTCCAATACAGAACAGTCTTTTCTTTTAATTTTTTGTCTTGTTTTGTTTTTGTTTTTTAAAGCTAAGGTGAAAACTGTTTAAAACATGTGCTGTTCTGTCCTGAATTATTTGTCTTGATGATATTTTGTAATTTACAAAAAGGTTTTTATCTGAGCGTCTATACATTCGTGTGGTTAAACTGCATTTTATTTCATCTATGACAAATGTATTGCTTTTATAACACTGTAAAGAATCCATGATCTTTATGGAAAAATCAATTCAGCTGCAGAGAAAAAAATGAATAGGCATATATTTTTTTTTACAACTCTCCTAAGTTAACATTTACAATCATATTTTAATGCAATTACAGCTCCAGGTCTTTTGGGGAATGTTTCAACTGGCTTCGTATATACAAACACTGGACTTTGTACCCATTCCTTAATTTCAAATAACTGAAGTGCAATTACATTAGGATGGTGAAAGCTTGTGAATTTCAAGTTTTTGAAGTCCTGTCACAGATTTCTCTATTTTAATTTGAGTTTTGATTAACGATTGCATCGCTCTGAATTGTAAATATAGATTAATCAACACGAACAATCCTATAGTTTAGTTGTAGGTATACCAGGATATTTGGCTTAAATGTCCTTCTGGAGGATGTTCTGACAAGCTTGTTTTTTTTTCCTTTTTTGTTTTTTTTCAGGATTGTTCAGTGTTTACCTGCATTCATCTTCTCATTAACTCTGATGTACTTCCTTTTCAAGACTGATGATATGAATCCCCACAGTATGTGATGGTACTTTCATCTTTTACAATAAAGGTTAATTGTTCAGGGTCATGATTAGTGTTATTTTATTGCAACAGGTCACACTTTGCACGAAAGCCAAAGGGTTTCAGTGTTTTCTCATCTTAACAGAACACCTACATTCATGTCTGATAGATGTGTCCTACATCCCCTATATAGTTTTTAGCATAGCAAATTTGTTTAACTGAACTGGGAACATTGTAAATACAGTTGAGATACAATGTACCTCTTAGCTCCTTATCTGAGAACATTACTCTTCCCCAGCATGTGTGTTTACATATATAGTCATGTTTTGGTATATTTCTCTTATATTATCCATCACCTATCCACCAAAACCAAAAATGAAAACCTGCATGCGGAATCTAAATATTTACATGTACTTTTGCAGGATGTTGCATACAGCTCGGTTTATTTAATGTTTCTGCATGTAATTCTTTTTACTAATGCCACTACCCCAAGTCCATTGCTTCCCATAAAGCGAAATATGAGATGCTAAACAAAGAGGCTGATTCAAATTTTAAGATAAAAAAGTACTTATTTAGCTAAAAAGGAAAAACTTGAAAATTAAGTTTAAAGGGAATTAGTCTAAAATATGGCTGACTCTGTCTTTTTAGACTACAAAAACCAAGATGGATTTTTCTAAACAGCATATTAGTTTTGGTTGAAAACTATTTAAAAACAAAGTGCACAGACCACATTTGTTTAACTGTGGCAGTGAAGTTCTGTTTGTTTATCTTCATGTGAAACCATGTTCATAACATCGGGTCATAGTATCTTCCACCGCTCTTTACACAGTAGTTGCTTCCTCAGTTTTTTTTTTTTTTCTTGGAAATCTTATCCTCTCAACAGTTTGACATGAACCCAGTAGTTCCAGGGGTCTAATGGTTTACATGAGCTGACCTGCAGCTGCGTGATGCTGCCCCCTGTTGAAAAAATTCATCTTCATGTAAAGATGGAAACTGGAGCTTATATTTATTCATTTCCACAATTACATAAATAATGAACCTCATGTGTTTACCTTTATTTCAAGAGGGTAAAATCTGAAGGTTTGAACCATGCAGTGTTTTGATGCACTGCTTTGAAAGGTGGCTTCTCTTTGCATTTGCTCTTGATACAATGGTTCTGGTAGCAGCACCATGGCATTTACACTTATTGATTACCAATATTGATGAAGAGATCTCACATAAGGTTGTTACTGCTGCCAGAGGAGAGACTTTGGTCTAATTTTAAAACGCTACAATTAAGTATGGAAAGGGTTTTATGGGAAAAACGTCCCTCTGTATAGTTATTATAGTATTTAAAACTGTTTTCCTATAAGAGTGAACGAGTTTCTGAACATTAGATTGCTGATTCGCAAAGGAGTCATGGAGGAAAACAAACCTGCCTAAATGTGGCTTTGAAGAAAAGGAGCTGAACTCTCCCCTCCCTCCCTCCTTCTGATCAGAAACTTAGGTTTGGTGGGGGAGCGCCCCGCCCTCCTGGTCCATATAACCAGAAAGCGAGTTTGCAGGACGAGCAAACAAAACAGGACCAGTGGAGATCACATCGCTGTACATGAAGTATCTCTGGGACTGACCCAACGGATTACACTGGCTGCTTCACCTTTAAGACGACAAGCAAACACCTCCAAGTGGCCATGGATTTTCTCAATCACAACTATTTGAATGCGCGCAACCCCTACGATTATACCTTCAATTTCTGGAACGACTATCTTGGACTCACGACGCTGGTTACGAAGAATAATAAGCTTAACATGCCCCAGAATCCAAACTCCATCACCGAATCCCTAAAAGCGACTCTGGGTTTGGACGATTCCCCTGCGTGTCCGTGCGTAATGACCAGCGGCACCGGAGAGAGCGGCCACCTGGACTGCTGCTGCCCGTCCGTCAGCCCCCCGCCTCCCTCCATCCTGGACCTGAAGGAGCGCTTCTCCATCCTCAGTCCCTTCCAAAGCCAGCTGCCGGAGCGAGAGATGGGCTTCGGGGGAAACTTCGCGGGCTTCGATTTCTTCGGCGTGGAGAGGAAGATGCGCAAACCTGCATCCAGGGGCAAACAGGAGCCCAAAATCTGCGTGTTCTGTCGGAATAACGGAGCGCCGGAGGAGGTGTTCGGCTCCCACGTCCTGAAAACTCCAGACGGCAGGGTTGTGTGTCCGATCCTGAGGGCTTACACCTGCCCGCTCTGCAGCGCCAACGGGGACAATGCCCACACAATAAAATACTGTCCACTGTCAAAAGACCAGCCATCCCAGCGCCCATTAAAGGGGGGCAGGGCTGTGGGCGGTAAGAGGATGAAAGTATTCTAAATAGACCAATCTATAAAGAAAATTGAATTGCACTGAAAAAAAATACCCGATGACTGTTTTTGATTTCGGTTTTAGCCTTTATCCCTGTTTCATAAACATACTGACTTTTTTTCTTTGTTCCATTTATAAGATTGCTTCTATTTTTATAGTTTTTATCCACATAGAATCATTTCTGCTCTATACATTGGATTTATTCTCTCTAGTTTATAGTCATTTGAGTGTGTGCATATAAAAACACATATATATCAATAATCCCAACATTTTTGAAAGTATTTTGGTCACATAGGAAAAGACATTGACATTTGGTAAAGGGGATGAATGTCAATTTTTACCAACTATTTTTGTATGGTGAGCTGAAAGCTCATTGCTATCTTCTTTCACGTCTTAAAGAAACCAAAGTTGTGTTTGCCATTAAAGAAGCTGAAGAATGTGTTGGTAATGTGTATGTGTGGGTCTGACTGAATGAGGAAGTCTGCCTGCCTGAAAAAAACAAAAAACAAAAAAAAATCTTCACCACATGTTTTTCTAAAAGTTGATAGTCATTTTGGGAGAAAGGAATCCAAAACAGAAAGAGTGACTTCTGTTTTAGCTCTATGTCATGCCTGGCAAACAGAAAGATATTCTACACTTTTATGTTTACATTCCCAAACAAGGGTGACACACTGGATTTTATTTTCTCTGTACAGTCTTGTTATTTTATTTTATTTATTTTTTTGTTTTTCCCCCCTGACATTTATTTTTAGCACAGTCACACATCCAGGTCAGCTCTGCCATATAGAGTTTGCCTCTAGATGGAAAAAAAAAACACCTAGCAAATGAATGTCATTAAATGATAATATTTTTTTTTCTGTAGAATCCCAAGAAAATGCAAAAATGTCCTGAATGTACAATTAAAAGTGTAACTTGTGGGACTGCACATTTCTAAAAGTTTTGTTTACCAAAGGAAAACAACTGCATTAAAGGAGAGAAAAAACAACAACAAAAGATTTGCTGTATAGTCAATGAAAATGATGTTTATTCAGTGTTTTAACATTGCAAGTGACTTCAGAGGGCGCTACCTCAAGGGGATTTTGTACTTACATGTAAAAAAAAATCAATAGCAGTTCATTGATATAGTGCTGCCATTTATAATAAGGGTTTTTGATAGTATTTTTGATCTTTGTATAACATAATTGTATTTTCATTTTGTTGCATTTAACACAGTGGAAGTGAGTTTCCAAAAAGCTATAATTAGCATTGTTCACCAAAAGGTGATTCTCTGTAAATAGTGAATATGCCCATACTTTTGAAAGACTAGCTGTCAAGTGATGCATTGAGGTGGTGCAAAAACTGAAAAAAAAAAAATGTTGACAATTGTCACTTTTAACAGAGGTTTTTGATTAAATGATTAAGAGAAAAAAAAAACACTGTTGAACTTTATTTATATTTTACCATATTTTACTGTATGCTGCTGTGCAGAATAACATGAATTCACTAGAGAAATAAAAACATATCAAATATTTGAGCTATATGGCTGTGTTCTGTGCTTCGCTTGATATCAGAGGAGTAAATACTGATTTCTTTTAGATTGCTGAAAGCTGAATACAATCAAGCAGGATACTTGATAAAGAAAAATGTCTCTATGTGAATTTGAAATGTATTTTTTAGTGTGAAATTATGACAGAAATACTCCAAACTTTGGTCCAACTCAAGCTGATCTGCTGCCCTGACATCTCAAAGAATTTGTGAGAGGACAAACAGTACCACAGTTGTTCGCTGTTGTTTCGGGAGGTCGGCCCACGCAGGAATGTCTTGGCTTGTGTCTCTAGTTCAGAGAGATCATGTTTGCGCTGAAGTGGATTGAATAGCGAGCCCTCCTGGCCTTCCCCGCCTGCCATCTGTGGAATGGCTGCTGTAGACACATTACAGGGGCTGAAAGGCAGGTAGGAAGCTTCTTGTTTTCTATAAAAACTCTGAGCTTTTGAAAATGAGAGAGGCTGCTACTGCTTGTGACTTACAGTCGCAGCTTCAATCATTGCAAATGATCCATAAATCAGGAAGATAATGAAGGGAGAAATGCTATGACGAGTTTACAAATAGCCTTACCGTCTCCATTCTCTCTAACTCAACCTCTATAATTGCTTCTGATTCTAGTTTGCATATATTTTTGCACCCCCTCCCCTTTTCTTCTGACTTCATACCTCTCTCCAGCTGAGCCTGTAGCATTAAAAATGGATGACTACTAAGTGCAACAGGAATTAGTAGTGAAAAAGCCATGAAGGCTTGCATTTCAGGAATACACAGTCAGCAAACAGGTCGTATTCCCACTACACCCTGACTTCCATTAGCAGCTCCACAGATAGGTCCGTATAATCCAACTAGCAGCACCATTTATGAGACATGTATCTTTCATGATCCTATAATATGTCCTCAGCAGCTGTTTGTTTTATATGCTATACAGTGTGTGTTTTCAAAAAAATAAAAGACAAAACAAACAACATTTGGACAACACCATGATGTTTAATTAATAAGTAAGCTGTATTTTTTATTTAAGTACAGAGTGGTTATTCAGGTTTTGACCTGGGGTGTCTATCATTAAAATAGAGGCGACTGGATACCCTCTGGCACTTAATCAAGATTTAGCTAGTGCACTGCAGCACTATGTAGTTATTACTGTTCATTTGATTTATTGGACTCATTAAGTCACTCTGCTTTTCATTGTGTTGCGCCACACAATGGCTCTGGTTTAATGTGCAGCACTGCAGATTAAAAATGTAAAGCTTTTCTGTTGAAACCATGGCAGCCATTTTTTAATGAGCTCAGTGTTATTTTGCTTTTTTGAGGGATTTGATGACAGAAAATGCCCGGCAGTGTTTAAATGCACAAAATAATGCATTGGCTGTGTATTTAATTAGATTAACCATTTACGGTAATAAAGTTAAATTGTTGTTTTCAAATATTCTTTTTTACTTTATTTATAAAAGTTTGTAGCATCACTTTTAGAGTAGTCTGCTATGCAAAATGTTTAACTAAAAAAGTTTTTGAATTAGACTTTTGTCTTAAAAATGTAAACAGCAATGAGTATTCATAGATTCACTAAAAACAAAGTGTGTGGATAAAAAATGCCATCTAACTAACTTTAGTTCGTACATATTTTGAAGTACTTAAAATAAGAGGGAGTTTTAATTCAATTCAGTTAATTTATATACAGAAAATTCACAACACAAGACATCTCAGGGCACTTTACCAAGACAATTCAGCCAGACCATATAGTCAGACTGGTTTAAAGTTTTCTATCTAATGGTCTATGTTATCTAAGGTTTTACAAATATCCAAAAACACAGCCATTTGCTGAGAATGAAATTGCATGGTAAAATTAAAATTGGGTAATGAACAATCAAACTATGATTCCATGATTAGGTAGAAGACTCTTATATAGGAGTCAACATAAGCTATATTGGTGGATTGTTCTCACAAACAAGACATCTGCAGCTGGATTCTCGTCAGCTCTAAATATATATAGTTGAAAATAAACATGTGTTTTGAGATAAAACACTTATGATATATCATCGGGACAGTGGATAAGAAACTGTGGGGCAAAGCAAAACAATAAAACACATACAAAAACTAAACTAGTATGACATATCTTCATACCATTACTCTTTATCATGACAACAAGTGTCATCAAACCTTATAGTCCATAATGTTCTTTGCCTTTCCACTTTTCAGTGTCAAAACATCAATATTTAACCCATATCTGCTTGAGTCTCCATGAAAAAACAAACACTGAAATTACATGGTTACATTCAACAATTGACAGTTTTATTAGCATTATTCTGTTTGTTGACCCACATCATAACATCTTGGAAAACCTATAAGCAACAAAGCTGAAGGACTCATTTAGGGATATGATCCTTTCACTGGATGCACATCAAATAAGGATGCCCCGTTGCCTAGCAACTCACTGCCATAAAATTGAACAACAGCTGAGCATGAAAGTCATTCCATAGTGTGAGGTAAACACAGAGACCATTTCTACCTGTCAGCCAGGAGGCTTAGTGGTTATCTGGACCTGGTTTAATTTTAAATTGGAAAATAAGGTTTGGTTATTGATGGTTTGACAACAGCATACCCCTTGTGGTGGTAATAGGTATTAACAACAACAAAAAACACATCTATGTTGTTATTCTATAATTATTCTCTTGACAGTTATCCATATTCACAGCTTCTGGTGTTGAATGATTCATTATGCCAACTGCAGTGTTAATGAACTCTGTCCACAGTGCTGCACTGACCATCTGTTGGACTCTGTAATAGCAAGTGTATCCCTCTAAGGGTTGATTACTGCCTTGATGCTGTAATTGAAATTTCAGAAAAGATTTATATGAAATCAAAACCCTGAGCTCTTTAAACTAGCTGGACAGGCTATTAAGTTCCTTGCGCGGCATGATGATCATCATTTCTTGGTGACTGTTTCACTAGTGCAGATGTAGTGTCGGTTTAAATAACCTTCAGACCAGAGTGAGGTTTGCACAGAAGAAGAACATTGAATGATTCCAACATTACACACAGTAGGTATTTTCTTGCTTGTGTTTCCTAAGAAATGCTTCAGTCCTCCAAACTTAGCCATCTGCCTTCAGTCAGTTTGGCTTTAAAATTTCTTGATTTTTTCATATGTTTAGTATTATCAGTAATTAAATACAAAACAAGACAACAAAAAAGTGGTTTTGTGTTTCAATTGTTCCTTCCTGCTATATTAATAATGATAATTGAACATCACTGATCTCACAATGGAGAAATTAACTTCTGCATTTAACCCATCCCCTTGGTGAGCAGTGGGCTGCCACTGTGTGGCGCCTGGGGAGCAACTGGGGTTAAGAGGCTTGGTGAAAAACCCTGAGTGCAGGCTGTGGGGATCCAACAGGGTACTTGCAACCTTCTCAGAACAAAAGCACACAGCTCTAACCACTAGGCCAACACTCGCCCTGTTGTTATACAAATACTTGTAAGTTAAAAGTTAAAGTGCATTTCCTTGGACTTTCTCTAGTTCTTTAATAATGCAGTCACAAATGTATTGTTATGTGGACCTGTACTAAAGTTGAACAGCAATGGTATTGCATTTCAATTACAAATTACCTTACAGCAGTACAAAGTTGTAAAATTAAATATATATGTATATGTATATATATATATATATATATATA